ATGATCAGGGACTTTTTTTAACTCAGTCAAGAAGGATTGGTGTCTGTGTGACTTTCTGAGTCCCAGCTACTCACACAGCTAGCTGACTCCAAGTAGTATCATGACCTAATGGAAATGATAACTATTCAACTTCCTTCTGAGGCAGGCATGCCATTTGATCACTTTGTAAAACCCTGAGATACTGATGGCCTTGTGTAAGGAGTATTTTTTCATACATCATGGCTGTTTTGTTTGTTTATTTGTTTTGGAGGGGGGTTGAAATGGTTCCTATGCTGTGTATGTCTCCAATGTGGCGCCAGAGGTGAGGTCAGTCTTAAGGGGATTGTATGTTGTAAAATTCCATACAACAGGAGCACAGTATAACTTTTTTTTCAGTAGCATATTTTGCAAGTCTAATTTAACAGACAGTCAGGGTTTTCTGGCTGACCTCTTTTTTATTTTATATCCCCTTGGGCAATATGAGAAATGAAAGCCGAGAGTCTCAGTCTCTCTCTCTCTCTCTCTCTCTCTCTCTCTCTCACACACACACACACACACACACACACACACACACACACACACACATATACACGAGTGGGGGTGGGGGAGGAAGAGGTAGTTTTCATTAACTCCATTAGCACTGTTCTCCCTACAGTAGCTAGGAGTCCCTCCTTTCACATCTTAAGAACCCAGATCTCTCCAAATGCAGGTCTAAGCCACCCATCATCCACCCTAACTTCCAACCTAAAGCCTCAGAAATGCACATTTCAGAATCTTGCATAGATGAACTATGTAGACTGTCAGCTTAGGTAGGGGATGACTTGCTTTCACTACTAAAATAATTCAATTATTTACACACAGGTGTGCATTAGTGGGTTATGAACACGTGGGGACACACACACACACATACACACACACACACCCTCACACCCTTCTGCACAGTGCCCTGAAGAATCTCAATGTATCTTAATGTGTCTTCCAGGAAGCAATCTCCACTGCCTCAGAGTCACACACAGTCCTCTAGGGAGCAGAATATCAGAAGACAAGGTCGTCAAAGGACAGCCAGAAACTTTAGGGCTTAATCTCAGAACAACCAAATTTTTCAAATAGTTTAAGATCTTCCCATTTAAGCACAAAACCATTTTTTTTATTTTTTTATTTTTAAAAATGATATTTCAATGAGCTTGGATATAAAACTCATAAATCTATTACAAATGTGTTCTGTTCTATTCTTGTAACTTAGCCTCACTGCTGCCGTTCAAGGCCATTATCATAAACATCAGTTGCTACTCTAGGCTGAAAGTGTGACATGACCAAAGGCCGCAAAGACACCGCCACCCTCCCCACTCCAGTGACAACTCAAGTGGAAAGATGATGAACAATAAGGAAAACGGGGTTTCCATAAAGGGTCCAGAAGCAGAAGTCAGAGGACAGCTGGAGTGTCAAGGGGACAAACGTGGGGGGGGGGGGGCTTTATCCAGGGTAGGTTTTAAGTAAACGGTCCTCTGCAGACCTTGCTGGGTTTTCTGACCAGCATCACTGTTATCCTGGTAAAAATCTCAAGAGCAAAGGGTCATCACAGCTGTTGGGGCATAGTCCACGTTCCTCCTTGTCTAATTCCATGTTTCTCATTCACGTTCTTAACTAGCAATTCATAATCCAAATGAAAAATGGCCAAGGCGGCCTTCTGATAATCTAGCCATGGAGGGATTTATCTTCCTATTGAGGTTCTGAGTCTCTTTATTTTCTGGGCCTTGGCAGTTTTGAAAGGCAAGAGTGTTACATAGTTGAGTTCCCGACAGTTTAGGGGTTGCTACTGTCCCTGACTTTTCTGCCAGAAATGTCTTCTTTGGGATTCCCGTGTGCGGTGACACTATGGTAACCATAGACCCTACTCACAGTCCTCTCAACTGGAAGCTTAAACTCTCTTCTTGAGCTTTTCTATTCTCTTCTCTATTCAAGAGACTCCAGTCTATTTGTATCTGTCGTTCACATCACGAGCAGCCAACACTGTGGGGATCTCTGAGAAGGGACACACCCATCAAGAGCTTACTAAGGTCTTCCACCTGACCAGCCTCATGGGACCTGTCCCTTCATAGAGGTGAGATGGCCCCTGGGAGAAAAAGAAGTCCTCAGCAAGCCAACTGTCAGAGGTCACCCATCAAAGAATGAGTGAGGCTGGGGGGCCAGAGAATAGCCCAGCAGGGTGCATTGCAGGCAACAAGATCTTAAAGGGCTCAACTTCAACTGGCTGAAGCCACATTCCAAAACAGCACAAAGAGAACGGTCCAGGATTCTATCCTCAGCGCAGCGGAACATTAGTGATCTAATTGAAAACTAAATTCCAGAAGAAAGGAGATGCTCAGATATAGACATACTTGTTTCTTTGGGCCACGTTGAAATTTACTGGACGCCTTTAACTCCCCTGGTGCTTTTCACAGATGCCAGTATTTGCTGACCTTCCCATTCTCACTCGACTCCCTGGACCAGTTTTCCTCGTTTTTCTTCTCTTCTGGCTCTTACCAAAGTGTATTAGTTTGATTTCTTTCACTGTGATAAAGACCGTGACCAAAAGGAACTTGGAGGAGGAAAGGGTTAATTTCATCTGACGCTTCCAGGTCACACTCCACTGAGGGAAACCTAGGCAGGAACTGGGGACAAGAACCTGGAGGCAGGGACTCAAGCAAAGGCCACAGGGGAACATAGTGGCTTGCTTTTATACTGGCTTGCTTTCCATGACTTGCTCTGGCTGCTTTCTTATATTATCCAGGACTGTCTGGTCAGGGGATGGCACCACCCGCAGTGAGCTGGGCCCTCCCACATCCATCACTAAGTAAGAAAACACCACACAGGCTTCCAACAGGCCAATCTTAGGGAGGCATTTTCTCAGTTGTGGTCCCCTCTTCTCAGATAATTCGAACTTGAGTCAAGTTGACAAAATCAAGACAAACAAACAAACAAAACACCCAACCAGGACACAGGGGACAGAGGAAAGGATCTTTAAAGTTTGCTGTGAGCAGGAGAGAAATGGCCAGGAGCCTTGAAAGTCAGAAACAGATTCCTGTCTCACGCCTGCCGCTTAGTACCCTTGTGACTCTGACCTGTCACTTAATCTCTCTGAGACTCGATTTAGCATCTTTCTGTATAAGGTGGAGAAAGGAGGTAGACAGGGCAAGGGTCGCAGTCCACTGTGGTCACGTAACACCTCTGCTGAAGTGGCCACAGGACAGTCAGGAGCGCAGACACAGACATGCATTGTCCTGACGTCGGCTGAATCAGCACTGTCTATGAGGCATGCGCTGCCCACCGTGTGCTCTGGGAACACATGTGAAGACGCAAACACCCACTCTAACAAAGGGTCTATTCTAGCAAAAAAGAAAAAGCTCTACATGCCCCCTCCACCACTAGTTCCTCATCCCTACTTAAGAGCTATTCAGACCGGCAGTGGGTGGTGGCGCACGCCTTTAATCCCAGCACTCTGGAGGCAGAGCCAGGCGGATCTCTGTGAGTTCAAGCCACCCTGGTCTACAGAGTGAGATCCAGGACAGGCACCAAAACAACACAGAGAAACCCTGTCTCGAAAAAACAAACAAACAAAAAGAGCTATTCATATATTCTCATGAATTCACACATAGCATGTCCATGTACAGTAATATCCCATTTTCATAATGAATATGAGGAAAAAATCCTCATCTTGATTATCCAATTTTCCAAATAATTAAAACCCAGAACAACAAAGTTTCTGCATCCAGATATCAATTGTTTCTTTTCTTCAAGTAAGCCCCCCTGTGACACACACTGCTAACGAGGTGACCTGGTCTTAACCTCCTTCCATCTCTCTGTTACATTATGTCGCTACTCTGCCTGGAGGTCACCTTCTGCTCTTCACAGCTGGAACACCTTATCATAGGTACATGCAATAAGGCTACCAAAGAGTCTGTTGTTGGGAGCTAATGGTTTAGCTTAGTGGTTGAGTGCTTGCCCGACATACACAAAGCCTGATTCCAATACACATACACTGAGTCTGATTCCCAACACGGCAAAAATAAATAAATACATACAAAATAAATTGGAATGCCTATCACTACACAGCTGCTTCTGCTCAGAATGACCCCTCACCTTGTTTTAATATGCTCTAAGGTGTTTTTGGAAGCCTTTTTTGAGCATTGGTTCCTTGCTGAGAGTTCCCAGGCTCTGCCCTCTACACCTGCACATGCTGTTCACATGACATGATGACTTTATAGCTGTGTGTTTGCACATCTGCCTTCCTCACCAGATGCAAGGCTTTACAGAACAGCTTCATAGTGCATGTATAGTGCAATCTTATTGAGGACCCCCTTAAAATGGAGTGGGTAGGGGATGAGTGTCTGCATTTCTCACAGCTCCTGGGTCACTCAAGCCTCAGCGCACAGCCTTCACCTGAGGCACTTGATTCAGAGTCGGCGTCTGAAATCTCAGGAGCCCCGTTTTTCATCTGTGTTTCACACAGCTGCCCAGCGGCTCTACTGACAAGATGAGAGGAGAGATGTCGTGGAGACTAGCACCATGTGGAACAGCACATGCGCATGGGGGCTAGATGGCAGTACATTGAGGGATGGTCTAGTCAGAGACGGGGAGGAGGCAGTGAGCTGAGAACCAGACAGGTTAGAGTAAACAGGAGATGAGGAGGAGTGGCAGAGGCGGGGAGGAAGGAGGTGAGGGAAAGGTGAGAGGGAAGAAAAGGAGGAGATCCTTCTCAGCTGCCCTGCTTGGGGTGGTCTGGCCTGTGCATTCTGGCTTTCCAGACCACAGGCTTGACCTGCGGACTAAAGTCTCCCAAGGTGGGTACTCCAGTCCTTCACACAACTGAGGGAGAGTGTGCAGCATTGGTGCCCCTTCTAGGCCTCTTCCTCGCTGAGCGATGAAGGACCAGCCGTTTAGGTAAGACTAAGGACAAAGCAGGACTCACATCACACAGGTATAGAAGAAAATCCTGACAACAGAAAGTATTTCACCCACTGTGCAATGCGAACAAAGGTTACCTGATACAGTTCGATCCGTTGTTCAGCCACTCTGGCTTTGGGGTTCTGCAAACGAAAGACTCTGAACTCTGCCTTCACCAGGTTAGAAGCATTCTTCTCCATTGTTGAGACATCAAAGCGGACGATTCTGAAGTAGGGTCTGTAGAAAGTGGGCGGGATGGCATCTGTAAAAAGTTAGGGCAACGGTTGAGAAAGATTAAACCTACCATGCTCTCAAGAAAGACCACAGTGTGCGAAAGTCCCAAGGAGCCATATGGGAAGTGTCTACAGAATTTCATCTCCAATGGCCAATTTAATACCATTAACAATTTAACCAGGAACAAAACGAAAATCAACATGTGTGTTTAGTTCCAGGAGAAGCAGATTAAGAACGATTAACAAACCATTTCCAACCACGTCTGAAAGCAAGCAGTTAACCCTGTCTTTTGAAGGCTGACAGACCAGTGGAAAACCCTAGATGGTTACGAATTGGAACAAGTTCATGACAGTTGATGGCTGGAGAGAGCTGCCGGGCTCGCATACACTTTAATCAGATATGCCAAGAAAATAGCTCCTAAATGGCAAGACTTCTGCCCGTGTGTTTTTTTCCTTGAAAGTTTGGCTCCAAATACTCCACTCCTAGTCAGCCTCACGGACTGAGTCGTTTATTACTTTTAAAGTCTGGGTTTTCAATGCATGTGACCAAGTTATGATAAGAAAATCTGAAAAAAAAATAGACCCACAAACTACCCACACCTGGTCCAGCCCTCAAACTCTTGGGTAACGTAATCTGCAGGTAGGTGGAAGGTGATCCTAGCTATGAGAGACGAAAGCACCAATCCCTTTATTTTGGAGCCTTGTGGGAGACAGCATTTGTGATCATACACAACAATTTCAAGACCATGCGTTGCTTAGAATTTTGTTATTATTTTCTAGCAATTATCATTGCCTTTGAATATGAAAGTGAGGTTACCTTAAGACCCAAGCAGGTTGTCTTGCCTCTCTGATTTCACCCCCAACATTCACTGAGCACCAACACTGGGCCAAGAGACCACTGGTTTTTTTGAGTGTGTTTCTATAATCTTCCAAATTTTTCCTATAAATTTACCTTCCCCATTCCAGAATATTCCATCTAGTCTAGAAGCTGTACTTCTTTCTGCTCTTTGTACATTCACAAGGCCTCATTACAACATCATCATTCACAGTTATGTTTCTCTTTAAATATGTTGTTTCTGCATTGTGTTTGTTTATTTTGCTTTCCCTGTGAAACTGTAAAAATCTGGAAAGTAGAGACTATTTGCAAGGGATTTCTTCCCCCTCCCACCCCCTATATATTCAGGGCAGGATTCATGAAGGCATGGAATTCCCCAAAAATCTGTTGATCATCAATGGGAGTCTTGAATGAGTCAGGTATCTGGCTATTGACAACACTAACTTACTAAACTAGCCATTTTGCTGACCTTAAATCAGATGTAAATGCCTCTCATGAACCTGTGACAATTCTACTGGTGTGGGAGGGCAGCTAGAAACAAGTGGTGTTCCTCATTTAGGAGCTCTGCGGTTTTAACCTCATGGGTGCCTTTTCTTATCTCTCCCCACAGCCTTGAGACTGCAAATTCAGGCTCATGAATTCCAAGTCAATTGCCCTATGAATTCAGGCTTTGTATCTGGCAAACCAGAACTCTGAGAAACAAACAAACAAACAGCCCCACAAATCCAAAATAAGCAGATTTTGGAGAAATGAAAGTATTCACAGACACTGTGATGGCCCTCTGTGGACGAGATGGTGGGAAGACCTCAGACCAACAGGGCGTCTTTAGAGTTCCCTGGCACAGCAATTCTATAAGGTAGCTGCTGAGACAACATCGACCTTTTCTTTGCTTGGAATATACCCATCCCAGCAATTAAGATTCCTAGTCCTGTGCTAAGCAGCACAGCTGAAAACAGCTTAGTCGCCCTGTCAGAGCAGGCCAGGCTCCTGGCTTTCCACACTCTCTTGGCAGAACCTTCCACAGGAGGTATGGCCACATTCATCTTCGCTTATCCTCTGTGTTAGACAGCAGAGGCTTCAAACATCCTTTGAAAGCACATCCTGGAAGTGCAGGGCCAGTTTTGTGTGTGTCCTGTCATCAGCCAGTGTAAACATCTTCTTCCCCCCTTCGCTTTCACGTGGAGCCCCGCCCCCGGACCCATTCTCCGTCCACAAACAGCCATCTTTCACACCCCTCCGCCACGATCTTCTCCTTCATCAAGTTTGTAAATAAGTGCTTTCCGGATTTATTTTTATTCTCTTTTGTGTTTATTAAACTTTGAACCATTTCCCCCCCATTCTGGTCTTCTGCCCATACACACGCGTTTCCTTTTTATGGCTGCCTCAGACCATGAGGTCAATTTTGTTTCTACTTCTTCTAAGCAAATCTCCAAATGATCCTGTCCCAGGCTTTTGAGCTCTGAAGGAGCGTCGGCAAATATTTACAAGAGCAGCTTGATGGCTAAGTGCGGTCCCTCGGCTATGTCCCTTCCCTGCATCCCAGGCGAACAGTCCTTTCTGCTGGCTCATAGAACCATTTAGACAGCTTAAATTTCAACTGGCTGCTAATACCCACCTGCATTTAGGTTCCAGGTTCGTAAGTAAAAGTAGTTAATGCGCAAGGGGGAAGGACAGCTGAGCAGTCCCGACCAGTGTCTCTGGTCAGGTTTTGGCACCAGGTGAAGCACCCAGGCCTGGAGGAGGATGTGACAAAGGAGCTCGATAAAAGCTTCTGACCCCCGAACCACCCCTTCTAAGGGAGCGTCCCAGCTGTCCCCTACTGTCCTTTGCTTACTGATCACAAGTCCTCTAACCTGGATGAGGGACTTGAGCAACTTGCCAATGTCCTCTCATTTGGGGGAAATATCGCTGTCAATTGCTCTGACCGTCATGGGTCAGTTTTTACCAGCAACCAGAACCAGAACAAGGCAAGCTCACTCCTCCAGCTCGGGGTGCCAGAGCAGCAGGGTAGGGGTTTAATGGTTTGTGCAGCCCAGATCCACCCACTTAGCCTTGGAGGAATGAGCTGTTTCCTCTGCCTCCTCCAAGAACTCACTTGCCCCTCTGGGATGGGTCCTTGCTATAATCCCCTGTAATTCCAATCCCAGTTTCCACTCTCGCCAGGTGGCCAGGTATTCTAACTTGACTGGCGCCAGCTTACCCACACTGACAGCCTGGTCCACTCCTCCCTTTCCATTTCTGACCCACTTTTTCTACTCAAGCACACTGACTTTCCTTCAGCCCTCTGGCTTTCATACCAGCCGCTGGCTCTGTTGGTTTCCCACATGCCTTGCCCTCAGAGAAAATCATGTGCATCGAAGATTTCATGTGTCATGGATTGGGCAGTCTCCCCCTCACCTTGCTCTGGCTGTACATCTTTGCTAAATCAAATCTGGAGAATTGGAGAGCTGGGGGATGGGGATTTAAGTGCTCAATAATTTGCAAAGTAACTGTATACAGAAAGCTAAATGTAGCATTTAATCACATACTACTTCATAAACATTACATACTGACTAGAGTCTGTTCTGAATAACTAATTTATTATATAGATTGTATTCTCTCTATATGAGCACGTTGGGCTCAGGTGTCTTTTATTGACAGTTACTTACTTCCTCATAGACCAGAACTGACTTCTTGGGCTAGTGATCAGAGCAGACACACAGGGGCTCCATACTCCAGCTGAATGAAAGGCACCGCACTCCAGCTGAATGCTCTACAGTGGCATCTTGAAATCTTTAATCATTTTAAATTAATGTTTTGTGAGTAAAGTCCCACATGACAATGGGGTATGAGACTTGGAACCTCAGCTCCTGCACTGATTATCTCCCAGGATTCTCTGTCTCTACCGTTGGCTCTCTGGGGGCCCCATCCTCATTCAGTGTTCTTAGACTGCCTAGTGACCACTGTTAGCTTCTACACCTAGAAGAACTGGGGTCAGGCACACAATCCAAGTCATTTCATGGTGGCAACTGCCACATTCCTTGGTGGCAGTGCCACAGTGCAATCAGATGAACATTCATTGGGAACACACCTCCAGCCCACTCTAGCTACCAAGCACAGGCCACTGTGGAGTTTACCATATCTTGGGATAGAGCAAGAGATTTATGGGGCAAATACACTGGCTTGGTAAGGCGTCACAGGCAGCTAGGGTCAGAGGGACCCTAGCTTGCTGAACATGTGAGGTAAAGGGCAGGACCTTGGGTGCCTGTGAGGTTCTCAGTGTAGAAATAACACAGTTCCAGAGAAGCACAGTATCCAATAGCCCACACAGGCAGATGGTGGAAAGAAATGGAGAGAGACAAAGAGACAGAGACAGACAGAGAGACATAGAGAGAGAAATTATGAAGCAAAGCAAAAAGTTCTACATGCTATGACCTTCCTTCCTCCTTTCCTTCCCTCCTTCTTTCCTTCCTTCCTCCGTCCTTCTGTCCTCCTTCCTTCCTTCCTTCCTTCCTTCCTTCCTTCCTTCCTTCCTTCCTTCCTTCCTTCCTTCCTTCCTGGTGATACTAGGGATCTAATCCAGGGCTTCGTGCATATTATGCAATTGCTCCACAACTGAGCTATATCCCTAGCTGTTCTAGAATTTTCTACAACCCCTCTTTTTCTGTTTGCACAAGAGACCCCATGGTTTTCTTTTGAAAGAAGACCCCTCTGCTTTGCATACCTATCCCTGCTACAGCCACACAGAACAAGAAGCTCTCCGGGCAGGAAAGATCTCAGCGAGGATGTCAGTTCTAATACCAAATCAAGCGGAGCTTGGCTGAATGCAGCAAGGACAGGACCCTGCTTTTCTGAGCCTGTCTCTTCATCTACGTACCCAGTCAAATAGATAGCAAATGGTGCTGTCGGGGTTACATGAGCAAGCAGAAGGGAAGTTGGAGCCCTGGATCTTGCACAAAGCTACCAAGTGGCCATTGGGCCTTTGTGAGTGTGCCCGGGAGGAAAGCTCTTGCTGCCTGACAGAATTCATTAGAGGCAAAGAGAAGGAACAAAACCAGCAGCATGCCCCAGGGCACTGTATAAAGGGCTCTGTGTGTTCCAGTTCCTGTCCCCTTTATGGGGAGGGGCTAGTCACCAGAGTCTTCACAGTTCACCATCTTCCACTTGTTTTACCGAAAGTTCTGGACACTCTAAAGGGTGACAATTCCATCTTCC